ACCGTGATTAAAAGGTGAAAACAGGAAAAATAGAAAAAGAAGAATGCGTAAATAAGGAATATTTCCAGTGCGTTGCGGTACCTTTGAAATCTGGATCGTTCAAAAACATTCGATGCATCAAACGTTCTCATCTTCTCAGTCTTTCATCAGGATCCACGTAAAAAGACGCTATACAAAAACGCTGCATGTACAGAAATATAGGTTCTATGCACCTTCAATTACGGATATACAATTACGTCTGAAAAGTTCGGAACTATCGTAGTTCTATAGAACGATAATTGCGAGAACGTAATTATCGTCTCGAACATCTGCTGTAAGAAACTTAACGGTAGACGGAATGGTTCGACGTGCAAATTCCTTGGGATAGCACTTTAATTTCTTTCATTTGTTTCAACAGTTACAAAACGTCCGCTTTTCTAACGGTCAAAGATAAAATTTACATTCAATAACCATCGATGTACACTGTTCGGAACAATTAGGAGACTGCTCGAAAGACCTTATTATCGATTAACATGACGATTAACTAACTTAACTAACAATCGTGGTTTGGTAAACGAGGTAAATCATTATGTACACTTTCTATATCTACTAAAGGTCTTATCAGAGAAGCTACTTAGCACGGGCATGTGTTGCAAGTGCATGAATACGCTATACGCTAGAACAGAGGATCTATATCAGTCTGATCTAAAACCAGTCCAAGAAGCCAAATCGTTCCCCTCTGCCGCATTAGCACAAATAGAAGAGGAATCAAATTGCTGGACCATGATTCTAAATTGGATATTTCTCATTCGCAAGTTGACTGTTCTAACCGATCGAGCTGTCCACGTCTGGTCTTTGTCTGGTCAGATTCTTTCTCTCTAGGCCTGCTGTACAAAATGGCTGCCATCTAGAGTAACACGATGAAAATGTTACAGGTGAGATAGCTGCCAATACACGAGGAATGTGTAACTAATGTAACTGCTCGTATAGAGACCTACAAAAGAAGAGCTGCTTTATCGCACGATAATATAAGATGTTCCATTTGCTAAGCTAACGAATCGACGATCAACTCGAAAGTATAATAAGAGGTTAAAGGCTCAGGAATATCAACCGATGGTAGCCCTCTGATGGCCGCCACGGGAACTATCACCATAAACACGAGACGAATTACTCAGGAACATGATTCTCTAATTATTTTGAGCAGATTAAAATTAGAAAACAATCGTCGTCCCGTGAACAAGGGCAACGTTAATGATTCTTGGAAAATCGAGGATCTACGCTTATTAATTCTCCCTTTATTTGTTTACTATATGCAAAAACGCTACAGCTTATACATATGCTTTTAATAATAAAATCTAAAATAGCAGAGGTTTCCATTTCAACGTCCAGAAAACATCAGTTTCGATAAATTAACGTGCAAAGTCTGCCTTCGTTTGTCGATCGTACAGTTCATTATCCCCCCCATAATTCATTATCCCTTTCTGTAAATCACATTGTTACAAAAGACATCGATCCCTCGTTTGCACTGTACAGAGTCCGCCTTTTATGTAAATGCGTCCGACCAGAAAATCGCAATGAAAACAATTAGTTTCGTTACTCGATAACAAAAACAGAAAATAGAGGAAAATGATAGGATACATTGGATAAATATGTCTCGTACGGTAATAGTCGCGAAAGATCTCTTATGCTTTGCTAAATGCTACACTTTGGACGACACGTTTCAAATCAACGATCCAAGATTATATTCTGGCAAATCAATAACTTCCATCTTGCACTCTAAAATCAAGATAATATCTTTTAACAATTTCAATCAATTATTCGGTATTTCATTCAAATACGTAATTACATTAACTGAAAAATAAATTACCAATCTGAACAGTCGATTTGGAACGCGCCAAGAAGTGCCGTTATTATTTCACAAGGTTCTTTGAGTAATCAGCGTCAAATAGAAGGAAACTGATATCGCGGTGGATAAATGTAAGAGTCTTTCTCGAAAACTGTAACTCTAGTGAAAACATTGAACGAAGAAATATATCAACTCTCTCCCGTATAGTTTCTTGGTTCCTCTATAATAATAGTGGCGTTATTTACATAGCTTATCACTGTGGCCTGGTTCTGAGTAGGTAGCAGGTCAACTCCTGCGGCAGCGAAAGAAAAACAGAACCGGCCAAAGTGTATTTGTATCATTTACACTGAAACGAAAAAACGTTAAGAAATACTAGGTTTTCTTTGAACTCTGACGAACATTGTCATCATCGACGTCGTCATCGTTGGTCAATGAAAGTAACACGTGACATCGTGACTTGGTAAAAAATGTGTAAGGCAGCGTTCATCTGACTCGTAGTCTTTCTGCCCATAGAGCTAAATTGTCAAAAACTTAAACGCTTATATGTTTCGTTTAAATCCTCAAGAATTTCTTCAAACATGGAAAGATATGCCATTCTACTGATCCGCGCCTTCGTGGAACTTAAAATAGTGAATCTTCATGGCCTTGTTGTTTGGATACTTGATCTTGCATTGAGGACAAGTCGCGTCTACCGCACCCTCCACCGTGTACGTGGACAAATCCATCTCTCTGTGAAAGTTCTGGCTATGGTCAGCGTCGTAGACGGTGTTGTGCACTGTTAGCATATGCTTCGACATGGTTTGCTTGCTGAACACGTGTCTGTCGCACAGATTACAACTGAAAATCGTGCTCGTGTGCGACAATTCGTGATTTTTTAGCGTTACCGGCGAGGGGAACGTGAGCTGGCAACCGTCTATGGGGCAAGCGTACTTTGGAGGTGCAAGTTTGTGTTTTACAGTGAAATGTTGCCGAAGATTCGGCACACCGGAGAACTTCCTGTGACAAACGTTACAGCTGACTTTACCATCGTTGCTAGGCACTGGTATACACTCGAGCGCTAATACCTTTATACCACTTTTCGGGTAATTTTTGTGTACTAATTGTTTGTGTTTGTACAACACGCTCATGTTCGCGAAGAACTTTCTACAAACATGGCACATCACAGACTTTCTGCCTGCAGTCAGAGCATCCATAGCGAATGGTGTTTTCTTATTTTCGTCTTCTAATTTGATCTTCTTAGGTTTAGGTTCATCTTGCGACATTCTTTTGGCATTATTGTAGGTCATTTGAGGTCGTTCAGGGAATAAGTTGACGTGCATGCTGAGTTTGTGACGTTGAAGCGACTGGTTATTGGTGAATACTTTGTTGCAGAAGGTACACATCATCTGTCTTCTGTTAGTTGCCTGGAACTTCATGCCTGCCACTGTAGTTGCTTTATGAAGCTTTTTGTGTCTTGATAATACTTTTTTGGAACTGTAAAGTTTCCCACAAATTTCGCAAGGGAAATTGATCTTCTGGATGTCGGAGAGGATGGGTTGAGCATTGTGCCATTGCATGTGCACATCCAATGTCTCCCTGTCAGGGAAAACATTCGTACAAATCTCGCATTGAAACTCATCATCCGCAAAGTTTTTCTCGGTTTTGTTGCGAGCACAATGTATGTCCCATAAGTGTTTTCTCAATTCTGTTACATCGTTAAACTTATCGCTGCAAACCTGACATTGGAAATTGCCACTGTCAGGTTTTGTGGGAGGCGAACTCGGATAAGTTTTTCGTGCTCTGGCTGGTCGGCCCATATTTGCATTGAACGATACTTCTTGTTTCGGCACATTCAACGATACTTCGTCCTCTTTCTTCAAGAATCGCAAGCTCAAGCGAGAGTTTGCTCGCTTATGCCAACTCCTGTGTATCTTCAGTGATGCTTCCTCTACAAATTCTTTGCCACAAAGGTCGCACTTCTGACCACCAGGTTTTTCAGCATGAGTAGACTGGAAGTGGAGATCTAGGTTAAATTGGAAGACAAAAGTCTTTGGACATCGAGGACATCGAAGCATAGTTTTCTCAGGCTTTGTGTGTTCAGTCACAATGTGGTGCTTACACATTTCTTTGCTCTTGAACATTCTTAAACATTGAGGGCAACTATAGGGACCTGCAGCGATACTGTGGACGTTTCTTGTATGCCTCTTAAGATTCGCGCCATTTGAAAATATTTTACCGCATACACCACAGTCGTACTTCTTCGAACCAGACTCCGAAGCGGCACTTAAATTTAGTGAATTTGAATCTAGTGAATCATCTTCCACTGTACTGTACTCAACGCATGAGATGTTTGCGTTCCTTTCGTTCGGATCTTCTATACCATGATCTTTCATATGAATCTCTAAAGCACCCGCACTGCTGAACATGCTGCGACAGATGACACAAGAGTAGATCTTTACTTTCAGATGAAGATTCCTATGTTCCGTCAGTTCAGCTCTAGTCGCAAATTCCAAATTGCAAAGAGCACAACTATACTGATTACTATCTGATAGTTTGTCTGCGTTCACTTCGGCTTCAAACGTATCCCAGTCCTTGAAAGGTGTCGAAATATTCTTTATGGGCTTTATTGAAACGCTCCTCGACTCAGGATATTTTTTACTACGAGCCATACGATGTTGTTCATGATGATCCAAGTAATCGCTAGGAGATCTGTATTTGTTACCACAGTCAGCACATGTAAACTCTTGTTTCTTGTGATCGGCCGTGATATGATAGTGAAACTTTTTAAATACGAGATATGTCATGCCACAGTGAACACACCTGTAGGATGTTCTGACCTCGAGTGGTAAACGTTGACACAAATTTCTATGTCTTAACATGTTGGGTCTGTACCTGTAGATCATACCACACAAGTCGCATGCATGATTGTGCGCAGGGTCGCCATTTTTATAAGGACCTGGTATATTCAAGCCTCCTTCTAATGACTTTCTTATTATTTCTTGTTTAACAGGTGGTAGAGGAGTCACTGGTTTTAGTTTAGGCGGAGATCGTGATGGAGATATTAGTTCCTCGTATTGTTTATCCGAGTGTCTCGATAGATGGGTAAGCAACTGCTTCCTATTCTGCATCGAACGCAAACACATATTACACGTGAAGTACCTTTCCTCGCCTTGCTTCGGTATAACTAGTGCAATCTTCATTGCACACTCAAACGATGCTCCGCAATGCGACTTGTACATTGATCGATCTGGGAACTCTGTCAAACACGCGATACACGTATACGGCCTCAGATCAGGCATGTGTTGACGTATATGAGAAAGTGTGCTTCTGCGATCGTTAAAACTTTGTTGACAAGAGTAACACGAGAATGTTTTCAACTGACTGATAATATTTTGCTGTACTTGCGTCAATGGAGCATCCTTTTCCATGCTCATTAATTCCTCTTCCAAATCTTCGACAAGCTCTTCATCACCTTGTAGTTCCACATTTTCAGCACTACCATTCTGTTTATTACTGTGAAATCTTTCCATGTGATTTGCATAAGAATGCTTAGAATGCAAATAAATTTGACAGTATACACATTTCTGTTTGAAAGGACGTATACTTTTGAAATACACACGTCCTCTTTTGCCCCTTTTTCTAATTGTCTTAGTTACACCTGACTTTTGGGTAGAATCAGCTTCCATTACTCTATCCTCTGTGTTTGAAAGAGGATTCAGTACAAGCTCACTACCAGTAACAGATTCTATTTCAATAGTACAGTCCGTATCATAGTCCTCTCGTGGTTCAGGTTTTACAGGTGTCTCCAAGTTCTTCGTTAAAGATGGTTCACCTTTATCTAAAACTACTTCATCATCAGTTAATTCTTGCACATTATTTTCTACATGATTCGCAGCACTGTCTTCAAGATTAGTAGCTTCCTACAAAATAAAACATATACTCAATATATCTTAATTTTCTATTCCATATTTTGAAGCATATAATACCTACCAAGTCTGAATCAGTGGCAGATTCAGAAATGACCTCAATCTTGTCTTCACAAAAGTCCAAATCAACAGGTTCATCTTTAATAGTTACAACCTGTAATAAATAAGATTAATATACATATATAATTATAACTGAACATATATTAAAGCAATAAAATGAACAAAACATGCATACTTACCATTGGACTTGACTGCATATGCTGTTGCAACCATTGTTGTAATTTGTCTTGAGAACGCAAACATGATTCCTTGTAATCATACCACTGATTTATGTTTTTCACGCATTGCGCGCATATCTGTGTCGATAATCTGTCCGTGGTTAAAATCTAAAAGGTGCAGAAACCCAATAAAAATATGCATGATTTAAAATTTGAATAAAAGTCAGGTTCCTTTAAGAATATTACTGCTCTATAAAACATATTCTGCTTGCTATTCTCCTGTTCAATAGTAACAAATAATAATATATAGCAACAGAACGCTATCAATTACCCTCAACAATGTTACTAATCTCATACATGATCCAGCATAGACCTAACCTCAATGCACCCGCATCATCATAAGATCAAATTGCGAAAAGTATAAACATACGCAAGGAAGGAAAAACACTCGAGAAAATAAAGGTTGCTGAATAAAAACATCTCTTACGCACCTGAATCGACAGGCAAGCTTGTATCTTACTGGCCAATGATACCGAAGCATTTTCTGTTCCAAACACCGACGATTTTGGCTCGTCGGTGGAGAGGCAGAGTCTACACACGTTATCCATCTTTTGCAACTCCACCACCTCGTCCATCACGGACGTACACGTTTTTGGCTCTTCCTCGCAGGATATCAGCTAGGTGTTCTGCTTGCCAACGAAACTCGCTTCTCAGAAGCAGGTTAGGGACGCAGCGTTTTGTTTGTACGTCGACATTTGAAACTGAGACCGAGCGGTCCATTTCAACACGTTCCTGGCGTTCAAGGAACAAGTTAGAAGAGGAGCGCGCGTCGGGTAGAAGCCCTCTCAATTTTGTACTAAAACATTTATCATTTTAATGATATTTCGATTCGCGAGTGTTAAACGTGCAGAATATATGTTTAATTATAAGAAAACAGATATATCAGCACGAACAACGAATGCATAATGTCGAATTGTTTCGAAAATTTCTGCAGCATGACGACAACGGCTAAATGGAGGCAACACAAACAATGGTGGTAAGTCAAAAGACAATAATTATGTAGTTGGTCGAGTGGTCGTTTATTTTATATATATTTCTCAATATACACTTGACATGTAACGGTTCGTCGTTTGTACACGTTAATAAGATACATTGTATATATAACTGCAGGTAACGTACACGGTTACATTTCGTTTCATTTTTCTTTATCGTTCGCAACGAATCGCTCGGTAACCGCGATTTAACAGAACCAAATGTTCGCCATTTCTCTAATTTCGAAATATCAGTAGCAAATTATCATCGTGCAGTTATAAAAGTAATACAGTATAAAAAATCCAAAAGCGTCGAATGTAAATTGGGTTGATCGAAAATATCGTGTTGTATATAGGACCATTACATAGAAAAGACGTTACAAACCAGACCTGGTCACGTGACTAATGCAACCAATCGCGACGAACTACACGATAACACGAACACGAGTTTCGTCTGATAGTTAAACGAAACGGAACGAAACGAGATGAAATTTGAAACAAAATACAATTACAGGATATTTCTTAAACGCTTATTATCGACCTAAATAATTATAAATATTAAAACACTTACAAATACATCTCTACATATATATGTAATTTCGACTGAAATACTCGAATTATCCGTGCTTGAACTACGAGAATAAGCCTTTTAACCAAAAAATGATTGGGCGTTCTCGTAAAACGTGTTGTACATATGGCAGCTATGGAATATTTTCGGAAAGCTCTCCTAAAACACGACGATTACTCTAAAACCGTAAATCTACTTGGTACATGATGAGCTTTCACGCGGACATCTTGTTAATTTTTTCGATACCAAATGGAATGTAATATTTCTTCAACATTTTGCTCTTTTTTCCTTTTTCATTCTTTTCACGCCCGAACAATCAATATACGGTGTGCAAATTAGAACCATCGAGACATTCCCTAAATCTATATTATATCTCGCAGATCTCTATCCCGCGCCAGCTATTCACATTAATGTACAGCACAGGAGTAACCATCGATAAATAAATTTCTATACACGTATCGTCAACAAGAGTTTCCTATCGATCTCTTTCAAAAATATCGACTTCCTATCCATATGTATATTATATATATATATATATATTTTTTCTTCTTTCGTTAGTATCTCAACAAAGGTACTCGTTTGGTGGAACGAAACATCACTTCGACACTCTAGAATTTCTCCGAAACAAATTATATTTTTGATTCCATGTACGCATACGTTTTCTCCACCGCGATGGCGCTACGATCTCCCGCCAAGTACCAGCGAATTCAAAGTTCCCGCCAACGAGCTGCGCAAGCTACGGAAATCGATCTTTCGCGAATGTTTAACGAGGTAACGTTTTGCTCCTGAATCACGGGGACGAATTGTTGAACGTCTGCGATAGTTTCGCGCCATCCTCATGGCCAACCAGTTCCGGTCCATGTTCCACCATTCGTCCGATCTATTGCAGGGGACTGTGCGCGTAAGGTTATTGCGCAATTCAGGTAGTCAGGCAATTGGAGTTGAAGCAGGAATTTCGTTGCGATTGCTGACGAACGTAGTCCTGCACGTTGAATTTCGTGTCGTCCGGGTCGTTGCCCTTCCTTGCCTTCAGGTCTCTGAAATCGAACAAAGTTATACTCGATTATCGTGCCAGCTTCCCTGTTGCGCCTAAACAGTTACACGGCGCAGCCTTAAAGCTTCATCTAGGTTAGGACCCCGTGATTCGATTTTTCTTATTCACTCGTCGCTTGGTAATAACAGATGATAGGCTGCCGATGATCGATGGAAGGATTCAGAAGTACCTAGCGACGGCCAAGAAGGCCAATTCAACGTTCAGGCCGGTTTTAGCTGAGGTTTCCATAAAGGGGACTTTGTACTCTTGCGCCAACCGTTTACCGTCTTCCTTCTTCACTACTCGTTCCGTTCCACAGTCGGACTTGTTACCTAAAAGCATTCGTTTCAATTTGTCAGCATCCAGTTTAACCAACATACTAGTCATAGTTCGAGAAGTTTGTTCGACATGAACTGATCTAATCAGATAGAATTAACGTGCTGGGATCTCCGTACTCGCGTTTAGCTTGCCTAATCCGCGTAGAGACATGCATTTTTCTTGCAAATCAACGTGTAATTTCATTTAAACCAATATACCGTGAACAGGTCACGAGAAATGCAGTGATTTTCTTTTTCCTCTGGTAGGTGTTAAAAGAAGATTTTTAAATATAGGATTAAAAGGTTAATTTAAGATTCGCAATTGATTTGCAAGTCCCTTGCACAGGTATAGAGTTGGAGACAATTTTGTTCCTTTGTGATAGGGTATAAAAATAATACGAGGTAATATAAGGTACGAAGAAAGGGTATCCGCACGATCTTTCGAGACACGACAGAATTGACCAATTATCCAATCGAGTCGGCAAACAGATCTCGATTAACGAGCCTCACGCGCGACGCTACTCTTCCTGGAATGTCTCTCGCGACTTTCTACGAAAGCAAGAAACTTGTCGAAACTATGCAAAAACCAGTCGACTTATCGATCATCGTGGCAACTTTCTCGGAAACGGGACGACAAAGAATGCTCTTT